CGAGCACAGTGGGAACCGTTGTGCCAAGAAAAGCTGCCTCCGGGAAGGCGGGAGAGTAAACACTGGTTTACATGAATGCTCCCTAACGCCAATGATTTTGTACTGCAGCTTTATTATACTTAAACCTCTTTAAGTATTCATTGATATCAGAGCCCATTTTGTCAGCCACAGCGAGGCTGTCTCTACCATACAGACTTTAAATTGATGAGGCCAGAGAAGGGACAGCTGGGGAAACTTGAGACATGGGCTGTGAATTGCCCCAAAGATGTTTTCCCGAAGCGTCATTGCCGGCACCCCTTGGAGGCTCTCGATGGGGAGGTGGCTCATGGCTGGAAGAGGGAAGCTGGTTATACGCTGCACTCTCGCCGGGGTGATGGGGACACCCAGACCCAGGAGACAGGTTACAGGGAGGGCATCAGGTCTTCTGCTGCTGGCCCAGAGCAGGGACTGATCAGTTTTTGCTTGAAAGCAAATTTCAAGTGTATCAGACCCACCAGGCTAACAGACTCGCTTGGGCCCCTCCTGGCCACAGAGGTTCAGCTTGACACACTCGCCACAGGGAGATGTTTCTGTCTGGCTATGCAAAATGGCTAAGAGTGGGAATAGGAAGAAAAGCGAGGCAGAGGACCACACGATGAGCTTGCCAGTGTACATGTGCTCTGTCTGTTGGGGAGGGAATGGCTTTCTACAACCACTGTTTCCAAGGAGACCCTGCCAGAGATGAGTGTCCTTGTCCTAAAAAGGGATGGAAAAAAACCCTTAAAATGCAATATCAAAGACACATTACTGTTTTTTCATGTAGCCTCTTTGGGTCCTTTTGAAGTGAAAATGTTTATTTCTTATTCCCCTACTGGGAATAGTCCTCTATTTTATTACAATTTCCTGTGGTTTTGCCTCAGCCAGTCTGGATCCTGGTACGAGTGCACATCAGGAGCAATAGAACTAAGTCAAGTGAGTTGTGCTGCTGGCATCGAAATTGGGGTTAAAGACCACAGATTAGGTCATCTGATGTGCTCACCTGCTGGGGTGGGGATATTTCCACCTATGTATTTGAGGTGGGGTTTTCAAAAGCTCCTAGCACTTGCTTGAGTGCTGGCATGGGCGTTGGGTCAAACTGCTGGTCACTCCTAGGGGAGCAGTTGGACCAAAGCTGTGAATAGTTGCTGGAAGGTAACCTCTCCCATCTCTTCCACATCAAATGATTTTTGGAAAAGCCTCCCAGGGAACATGCAACCGATTTCAAGGAGCAAGATACCCTCAGACCTTTTGGAAATTAATACAGTCCTTAGCAGATTGTGAATCGTTCTGGAAAACAAATATCCTTGCATAGAAAAAGGCCAAATTAAATCTAAATTAATTGTAAAAGGAATCCTTGCAGATACCAGATGAGTCAGTGGATTAGAAGTGTTACAGGGAACCTTTTGCATCTTGGCCACGCAGCCAGTACCAATGACAGTCTCTGCTAATGAAAGGAAAGGGGGTCAGAGACATGAAGACACAAAATATATCCAACAATTTGAGCTGAAACTAAGGCTTTTGGTTTGTGAAAGATGTTAAAAGAAACCAGAAGCTGATGAATACACCTTGAATGTATTCTTAGTAATTATCAATTCCTCTGACCCTTAGGTTAGAAAAATTAACAGTTCCTTCCTTTCAACAGTCAGGGTCAAAGCTCTGTCTGAACTCCACAGAGAAACTAAAGAGATTAAGAAAACAACAATCTACTTCACATGGAATCCTGACTAAAATGGTGACACACTGAGATGTTAATCCCAGTTAGTTGAAGCCATGAGTGTAAAACCTTCCAGTTAAATTAGCTGTAGGATAAATGAAGAATTGCTTACCTGTTACGGTAAAAGAAACAGTAAGAAATTGCTATGACTTTTATGCCGGTCTGGTCTAGTAGCTTTTCTGCAAACCTGTTGTTTGTCAGTTTTAGAAATTTTTTGTCATGTGGGACCCTCATCTGGGGCCAGAGATTCTGTTGTGCCATGTTCTGTATCTTCCCATAGGAAAGACATCCACCTGGGCTGAAGGTAACATCTGAGAGAGAGAAAGCATTATTGTCATCTGCTCCTATCGTCATTGCTTTTTTAAGTAATACAGATGACACAGGCAGGTCTAGCCTGCATTCGTCTCTTATCAAGGGCACAGGTTTCTTTCAAATCCTCAATAAAACAGCCTAGGCTAAATTTGCAGGCTGGTTAACCTGTGCTACAGAAATAGGAGTGAACCCTTTGACAGCTGCACAACAGTAACTGGCTATTTTTCTGCTCACACAGGCAAAATGAACATTCAAGAGTATTTCGCAAGAATTTCTTACAACGAGTCCCATAAGGATGCAGACTTGCAAACCCTAACAGTCATCTTCCAGCACCACATCCAAGCAATTCCTTTTGAAAACCTCAGCATGCATTGTGGGGAGACTATCGAACTGGATTTACAATCTACTTACAATAAGATTGTGAGAAAGAAACGTGGTGGATGGTGCCTGGAAAGCAACCACCTTTTATTTTGGGCCTTGCAAGAATTAGGGTATGATGTCTGTGTTCTTGGAGGAAATAGTTACAAACCAGCAAAGAGGGCATACACTGAGGAGATGAATCATATCCTACTGAAGGTGGTGATCAAGGGAAATTCCTATATAGTAGATGCCGGTTTTGGCGGTGCCTACCAGGCATGGCAGCCATTGATGTTGATTTCTGGGGAGGATCAACCCCAGATCCCTGGCATCTTCCGCTTCATGGAAGACAACGGTGCCTGGTACTTTGAAAAAGTCAAAAGGAAGCATTATATTCCCAAGCAAAGTGTCCCTTCCACTGATACTCCAGAACTGGGGAATATCAGAAAAATATATACATTCACTCTTAAGCCACGACATATAAATGACTTTCAGGATCTAAACACATACTTACAAGTGTCTCCAGATAACATACTTCAGAAAAAGTCAATCTGCAGTCTCCAGACTACTGAAGGGCTCTATGCCTTAGTTGGATGGACCTTTACTGAGGTGAAGTATAACTACACGGAGGATGTGGACCTGGTGCAGATCACAACTCTTACAGATGAAGAGGTTGAGAAGACACTGAAAGACAAATTCAATATAGTGCTGGAGAACAAACTTGTACCAGTAAACGTTCGTGGCTTGCCACCTAATTTAGTGGATACGATGTAATTCGAACGCTGTGCTAGATGGATCTTTAAATATCCAATATAAAAAGTTCTAAAATTAACAACATTAATCTGATTCTAAAGTTGAGCCCGTCAGATGAACACAAAGCTTGGTAAATTCAAGTACATTGCTAATTAACTGTATATACTGATTGCATATTTTTCTTAAGCTTCTCCTTCTTTAGAAACTGAGACTTCTTCCTACCTCTAATTTGCTCATATGGAAATTGCTTTTTGACTCCATAACATTTTGTTCCACCTCTCATTTTATTTTAGATATATTTTGTGGCAAAGGAGACCAAAATGATACAGAAGGAGAAGCTGTGTTACCATTTTATACAAAAGACCTCTAACCTTTTTTGGTATTATTTCCAATCTTCTCAGCAGAGTTTTACAAATTTTTCACTTCCTTTAACAGTCTGAAATAGAAAGTTGAGCTGAATTTGGCTTTCAAAGACTTAATAAAAAAAGAAAGGTTAAGACTTTCTCAAAACAAGCCACTATTAAGTGCTGATTAGCTTATGATGAAATAAGTTGAAAGACTTGAGTCCTATTCGCTCACCAGAAATTGACTTAAAGTGAGCTATTTATGCAAGGGCACTTAAAAAACCCCAAAAGCTCTCTAATTTTGAGTGTCCAGTTTTTCTGAGTCTGAGTTTTCTGTGTCTCTGAAATCAAAACAAAGCTGAGAAGCTGAGACAATGCAATGGTTCTTAAAAATCAAGCTTTTGGTATAAAAAAAATGGAAACAAAGTTAGATCAACCTTTGGAAACTACAGTCTAAACTTTTGGGACCTAACCTTCCTGCGATGTCAAGCGGGCATGGCAGTAGTATAGATAAAACTCTTCATATTTATTACAAACAGTATTCTGCACAAAAGCTACCTTAAATAAGTAATACTGCAGATGTGAAAGCAAACACTGGGAAATTAGGACATGCCACTGGTGTGGTTTCACAGCATGTTACACGTAACACAAAAGCCTTTTACCTTTATGATACCTGTGCAGGTCATGTACAGGATGTGTCATGAAAGATGGCAACAGAAGAGCATCAGTCCTCAGCCAAGGAGAAGACCTTGATGCTCGTATTAGTCAACCACACAGACTCACGGGGCACCTGATGTGCCTTAAATTCACGTGCTTTCCCAGATGCAGTCTAACGTGCTCTTTGCCTTCCCAAAAGGGACCTGACTTTCCACCTCCATCAAGGAAGAGGAGACATGCTTGACAGGGAGAGAATTAAATGAACCGCCCTGCAACACTTTGAAGATGCAGAAGGCCAGGTTTTAGAGAGGAAATGCATTACTTTGTGAAAATAAATATTTGTCATGGTATTAGTTAGGTTTGGCAGCTCCAAAATAACTACCTGCTGCAGTGGAAGCTTTGAACAGATCAAAAAAGTTCCTTTGTGAGAAAAGAAGGGTCATTTTATGCATCTGCAGAGCCTGGAAAAATGCAGCCTGCAATACCTTGGCAATTCAGTGCACCCACAAGGAAGCAAATTACTATCCTCCACCGCAAAGTGCTGGCTTGCAAAATAACAATAATTTAATTTAAGAAAATTATGGAACTGCTTGCAACTGTCTACTGTAATTATTTTACATGGAAAACCAGTTCAGTCTGGTCTTAACCAGGGGCAAACATAAACATCTACTAATAGAGAAGAAACAAAGTTTAATTTGCTCATGGATCAGTGAAGTCCAAAAATGTGCATTCATTTTGGGTGGACTCTGCCCCTTCTCTGCATTTAAGATTCAGGAGTGAGGGCCAGACAAGCTTAAAGAGGAAGACAGCCCTCGCAATTTGTATCCAGTCCTGGCTTTACTGACTGCTGTCCCAGTAATAAACAACCCAGAAGCTGAATATATCCATAAAGAAATAAGGCTATTTTAAGAGGTAAGTTTATTTTCTTAAAAAAACCTCCAAAAAATCCAAACAACGAACTTGGTTTATTTATGATGATAAAGGTCATGGGCAATAACATAAGCAGTGTTCTCTTCAGGAAAAATGTTATAAAAATGTGTGGATACAGAGCTAAAATATTGCTTGCTAAACATGGGCTCTTAAAAAGGGCAAAAAAATGATACTGCAGTTTCGATTCTTCTGTCTTTCTGCTCCTCAGGAGGAGATTCTCTTGACTATGAGAGAGATGCTTTTGTTTAGATACAATGGTTGATAGAAATTTAGAACTACAACCTCTTGTTGGAAGTTTAACTTTTAGATTTTTAACTTTAAGAATATTGCAAAGGCAAAGGAAGCAAAAAAGCAATCTAATAATCAATATATTCTGCTTTATGGGAATAAAATTACAGACCTTTAAAAACAACTTAAAAAAATGAAATTGCAAACTATGGTTTGCAAACCCCAGAAAGTCCATATGCTGATGTATTAGGATAAAAGTAGACAGATAACATATTTTAACAGTGGAATTGCTGATAGTGTGTATAGTCTTGTTAAGGAATATTTTTGCATGAACACCTTCATTTGCACATTTAGAAATAGTTCTTTAAAGTTCTGCTGCTGCTGTTTTTCTCTGCGTAAATCATAGACACATTTGTGGGACTAGCTTTTCGGTATCTAGCTTTTCATCTGATCTGCTCATAATTCAAAAGAGCTGTAGCTTTCATCTCCTACAGTCAAGATCTAATGCTGATCAATCATATTACGGAGCTGCAGAGAGAAATTACAAATAATATAAACTCCAGAACCAGCTTTCTGTTGGTGTGATCTATTTAGCATTCAGAATTTGGGCAGGTAGGATCGGATAGACTTGGATTCTGCAAATTAAAAGGAAAAAGTGCCAGAAGCCTTATGTTCTATTTAACAAATATTGCATTGAGAATATCCCCCAACAATACACTTAACTATTACTGGAAGCTAAATTCCTTTCTGTAGAAGATAACACACAGTTTTTGATGGGACTCTCCATTCACTTTGGACAGCTGCTTCTATACCATGCATATGCACATCACGAATCTGTCACTGAAAATCATCTTGAGAAATTCTAGTTTGCAGTAAACATTCAATGGTTCACCGCTGAATTTATGTGAATACAATAGTCTTCCTGAGTCGCTAATATTAAGTGTCAAAGCCTCAGCTTACTGTATGCACAAAAGATTTCCAAGTAGCGTTGTGGGTTGTCAAGAAGCTAAATATTTGCAGTAATTCTAGACTGCTGAAATACTTAGTGCTTTCTTTGCAAAGGTTCAAGCATTCAAAACATTTTGTGCCCAGCTCCATACTCAAGCAGGCGATCTACAGCGTGTTTTGCAAACAGTATCTATCAGATACTTACAAAGCATCCAGCTCGTAACGGTGGCCAGCAGACCATGACGGGCCATTGCCAAAGCCAGATGACTGTGCATGACTTTCCATGGTATTAGAAGGCAGAAAATATGCTGAATAGCTCCTCATCCAGCAGTCTTGTTCATGAGGAGTCCGGCCAAGGTCAGGAGGTTGGCTGGAGGCAGGCCAGACCATGCACTGTACGAGGCTTCGGTAATTCTCAGTTACGCCTCCTGTGGAAGGAATAAAGGGAGTTTTGAGAAAGGCCAGGACTAGAGAGATGTAAAGCAGCCCCTGTCCATTTTCAGGGCACCCTGCGAGACGGGGGGCACAGCAGGGAATAGAGATGTGCTCTTTGTCTTTTAGGTCGCTCGCCTCCAGTCAGATTCATTATTCCAACACCAAAATGAGTTTGTGCAACACTCAGAGCAGACAAGAGACTCAGTGGTCTGCGACTGTTGCAAAGGTCAGAGGTTTTTTTCAGTTATAATTATCTGAATAAAACTTGACACTTTACAAAATGTGCAGGGAGTATCATTTTCACTTTTTGTAAGTGGTGAAAGAGCGACATGTACCAAACGAGCAATTTATTTACCGTCACGTAGATCGGTGGCAGACTCATGAAAAGAACATGTGAATCCTGGCTCACATTATCCTTCCTCCAACTGGCAGATGACACTGCTTCCCCCACTGACACTCCTTTCACTGAACAGTGGCTTTAGACTGGTTTTCATGAAACCTCCTGAACGCTCCCTAGTGTGATCTTACATTTCTTCTTAACCCCGCTGTTACAATGCAAATACAGCATCCCCGTTTCACAGCCACCGCATATCAAGCTGAAATTGCATCAGCTGTTTGCCATAGAGATGACTTCAAGACAAAAAGCAAACCCTCATGTGCACTGCTCTTCTTTGCTCTGGGAACTGTTTGATATGAATACTTGTTACCTTTAAAAACTGCTCTGATGAGGTTCAGTAGATTAAAGCATCTTTGCTGGCAGCAGCCCGGGCAGTTTTTCACAGCATCATAAATCATTGATGTAAGAAACAAAACCAAAACGCGATTCCTTGCTTTACAGGTGACATGAACCTTGAAGAGTATTTTGCAAGAACTGGCTATAATGGTTCCCTTGAAAAACAGGATTTGGAAACCTTAACCAATATATTCCAGCACCACATCCGTGCTGTTCCCTTCGAAAACCTCAGCATCCATTGCGGAGAGAAAATTACTTTGGGGTTGGAGCACGTTTATAACAAAATCGTGCAGAGGAAGCGGGGCGGCTGGTGCATGGAAAACAACCAGCTGTTGGGCTGGGTCCTGAAACGCCTGGGGTACGACGCCAGCTTTCTGGGAGCGTTTGTGTTCAATCCACATCAAAATGCGTACGCCACCATCATGACCCATCTCCTTGTAAAGGTCGTTATTGATGGCAAAGCCTATATTGTTGACGGAGGCTTTGGTGTATCCTATCAGATGTGGCAACCGATGGAGCTTGTGTCGGGGAAAGACCAGCCCCAGGCTCCTGGCATCTTTCGCTTCACAGAAAAAAATGCCATCTGGTACCTTGAGAAAGTGAGAAGGAAACAATATATCCCCAATCAAAATTTCTCTAATTCTGATCTTCTGGAGAAAAAAGAGTGTCGGAAAGTTTATATGTTCAGCCTCGAGCCACGGACAGTGGAAGATTTCCATTTCCAGTGCACGTACCTTCAGACATCTCCAGATTCCCTCTTTACAAAGAAGTCCATCTGCACCCTCCAGACCACTGATGGCTTTCGAGCACTAATTGGGTGGACACTCACTGAGACCACATACAACTACAAGGAAAATATGGATCTGGTGGAATTCATAACTCTTGAAGATGAAGAGGTGGAAAAAACGCTGAAAGAGAAATTCAACATAACCCTAGATAGAAAACTTGTCCCAATTAATGTCAAAGGATTTTACACAATCTAGATGACCAGAAAAACCTACAATAATGCTACATATGTACAGTACCTTCCACTGTCTGCGCAATCACTACTGTAAGATTATGGGATTCTTTTGCAGGCAATTGAAGGAAAAATACATTAATACAAGATTAAAGTGAACTTCACTCTGAGAAAAATCAGGAATTTAAGACTCTTCTGTCAGGTATATAGAATTACTTGCTGTGAGATGACGGCAGTTCAATTTTTGGTACAAATGTAGGATCTGATTTGAATCTGGTTATAAACTTGGGTAATAAATATGTCTGGGGAATTCTGGAGTGCCTATAGCACATAAATAGGGGTATAGATTATTAATTGTGATATGCTGCCAACATATTTTCTATGGTTATTATAGGGAGAAAAATCATCTGTGAGCATTTAGACAGTGAAGTACATATTTAAAAATTCATTTTTCACAAGATCTAACCACTCGCAGCTCATTTCATTTCTCTACCTTTTGTGCTGGTTTTAGCTGGGATTATTTTCTTCACAGTAGCTCGTACAGGGCTATGTTTTGCATTTGTGCTGAACAGTGTTGATAACACAGGGTTGTTTCCATTACTGCTGAGCAGTGCTGACACAGAGCCAAGGCCTTTGCTGCTGCTCACCCCACCCCAGCAGCGAGCAGGCTGGGGGGCACAAGGAGCTGGGAGGGGACACGGCCGGGACAGCTGACCCCAGCTGACCCAAGGGATATCCCACACCATACGGCGTCAGGCTCAGCTTAGAAAGCCGGGGGAAGAAGGAGGAAGGGGGGCACATTCGGAGCGATGGCATTTGTCTTCCCAAGTCACCGTTAGGCGTGATGGAGCCCTGCTTTCCTGGAGATGGCTGGACACCTGCCTGCCCATGGGAACGAGTGAATGAATTCCTTGTTTTGCTTTGCTTGCGTGCACGGCTTCTGCTTTACATATTAAACTGACTTTATCTCAACCCATGAGTTTTCTCACCTTTACTCTTCCG